CGTGGTTACGTAGAGTACGGAGAGAGAGAGAGAGAGAGAGAGAGAGAGCGGCACACACCATGGACAAGTATTCCTTTTCTTGTCCTATCCGCCGTCGTGTAGGCTTGGAATTGCGGGCTGGTGGCAACCACATGCATGCCGCGTTACAAGGAATCAGGTGCGTAAACAAATGAACTCCCGTATTAGATCTTCAATTACTGTATCTGAGACCGTGTGGTTTGCCCCCTAAACCACGCAACGCCTCGGGCCTCGCACGATGAAGCCTCGGGGTGGTGGATGTGGAGAAGTGTCCATGGGGGTTGGTGCCTGCAAATTTTCTTTGAGAGAGAAAGAAGGCAACGGCAGGAACATTTTGCACTGCAATTTCCACTCAAGCAAACAGATAAAAAAACTTGGTAATGAGTTAGATATGAGATCATGATATATCGACTGTATAAAAGAGAGAGAGAGAGAGAGAGAGAGAGAGAGAAAAAAACAATGGATAAAGGGGTACCTCCCTCACACACATGAGATGGAATGTGGCAGCTTTTTCTTTAGGATAAAGGAAGTGAAAGGCTGGTCCTCCTTACTGCACAAGGATGCTAATGGAGAAAATATACCAACACATGGGATCTAATTGAAAGACAAACACATTTTACTGACCGTTGCTTAGTTCAATTGGAATCATCATATGTTCAGTGTCCGTCAATTCACTATTCTACCAATTGAAGACAACCTTTTTGGCGTACATCACTGTTTGTACCTATGAATCCTGAAGTAAGTGTTGAAACACTGATCCTCTCGTGTGTGATTGCCATCCATCATGATCGATCTGTTAACAAGGTTCTCCTTCCTTTTGTGCCCACATTAGAGAGGAGCTGGTTCTTCATTTGTGTTTATAGGTAACACACTCTGCTACCATTTTGATTCGTGTTTGTTGACTCATTAATATGGAGGTTTAGCAAATTGATGTTTTCAAACAAGTATACTTAATTAAAATGGTCATATCTGCCAAGTCACACACAAAGATCGAGTTGTGCAGGGTTGAGTCCATCAAGCAGCACAAAAGGGGAACACCAAATTATGGGTTAATCATTCCAAGTAGGAAAGGCATTGAGGCTCAGCTTTTACTCCCACTTCATCATGTGTGCCATCATATGCATATTCGCTTGCCAACTAACACCTTTTGCACACCTGAATCCATACACTAATCAATCTTTTATTTCAATTGCCACACAGAAGAGAGAGAGAGAGAGAGAGAGAGAGAGAGAGATCCTCGTGCTATCTATTTACGTCGGTCCTATAGGTTGTGTCTCATCCCTGTGAATGCTCTCGTTGCGGAGAGAAAAGTTGGCGACTTGTCTAAAGGAGATTAGAAGGAAAGGAAGGATGTCAGGAGAAGCGATCTCAAAGGCCTTCGGATCGATGCAACCGTGTCTGGACTCCAATCCTCCTGCGGCAAAGAAGAAGAGGAATCTTCCGGGAACACCAGGCAAGCAAAAACAACACACCGGAATCGAACTTTACCCTTTTACTTTCGACCGTTAGTTCTTAGACGATCCTCTAACTGGCTTCCCAGTCTTTGCCGATCTTGATGACGAGCAGATCCTGAAGCTGAGGTGATCGCCTTGTCGCCGAAGACGCTCTTGGCCACCAACCGGTTCGTGTGCGAGATATGTGGGAAGGGCTTCCAACGCGACCAGAATCTCCAGCTCCACCGCCGCGGCCACAACCTGCCATGGAAGCTGAGGCAGAGGAGCAGCAAGGAGCCGAGGAAGCGGGTCTACGTGTGCCCCGAGCCCACCTGCATCCACCACAACCCTGCGAGGGCGCTCGGGGATCTGACGGGCATCAAGAAGCACTTCTGCAGGAAGCACGGCGAGAAGAAGTGGAAGTGCGACAAGTGCTCGAAGCGCTACGCGGTGCAGTCGGACTGGAAGGCGCACTCCAAGACCTGCGGCACCAGGGAGTACCGATGCGATTGCGGCACCCTTTTCTCCAGGTACGCAATGCTGCTCTCTCTCTCTCTCTCTCTCTCTCTCTCTCATCTCCCTTGAGCAACCAAGCCGAGAGAAACATGGCAAGTAGTTTTGGTGCTCGTCCATGCTGATCTCCTCTTACATCATCTGGCTTTTAGGGTTAGAAAAGAACCGAGTGTTGTTGCTGTCGTCGTCGTTGTTTCCATCACTGACATGCGACCACCTAATATATCTATCTCGTTCTCTTGTGCGGTGAACAGAAGAGACAGCTTCATCACTCACAGAGCTTTCTGCGATGCCTTGGCCCAAGAAACCGCGAGAGTTACAGCAGCCTTCAACAACGTGGAGTCTAACATGCTGCAGCAGTTCCCAATGTCCCATATCAAGCCCAGCGTCGTCCATGGCGAAGCCGACCAAGAGGTCAAGCAGCGGCTTGCGTTGTGGATGGGACATGGATCTCGGACCAATGATCCCTTAGATAATAACACTGTCTTCGGTGACATGCATCAAGTCGGCCCCGTGAGCGCTGCTGCAACCTTGTATGGTGATCTCCTCAACTCGTCCTCCAACCTGCACCAACTGGATCAAAGCCAGTTGAGTTGGGTTTACAGCGAAAAGCTCCCATCATCATCGAACATGGGAGCCATAACAAGTGCCTCGTTACCAGCTACAAGCACAGTGACGGAAGCTGAGACCTCGCAGCCTCTTCTCGGAAGCCTGCCTGCGTTGTTTAGCTCTCAACAGCGTCATCTGATAGCAGTATCGGATACATCTGCCACAGCGTTGTTGCAGAAAGCTGCGCAGATTGGTGTGACTTCCAGTATCCCATTCACAGGGAGCTTCGAGTCACCGAAGGGCCAAAATGCCAACGTCCGCGACAGATTTGATGGACTATTCAGTTCAAGGAGCCAACCAAGCAACCTCGAGAACATTGTGCCTAATTTTGCAGTGTCGAACACGTTTGATGTGTACGCTGCAAGGCACGGAAGCCCGCGGAGGGATGATATTGGAGGCGAGACGAGAGATTTCTTAGGTGTGGGGGTGCACACACTGTCCCAGCCATCGATTAATGGATGGATCTGATATGATCATGAGCATATATGCACGCGAATCTGTTCGGGGGAGGGGGTGGGCAGGAAAGAACAAAAGTTAGAGAGGGAAACCCTTGAGATGTTTCCTGAGGGAGCATGAAAGGTGGTAAGGTAATGTGTGCTTTATGGGAGTTGGAGGATGTGTGTAGAGAGAAAAAGGTGGTAAAGTAATGTGAGCTTTATGGGGAGTTGGAGATGTGTGTGTAGAGAGAAGCAGTGATTGTTCGAAGTGGTAGGAGATCCTTGCATATTCTTATGGACCCTAAAGTCACTCCATGAGATGCTGCTGCTTTTGTTTTGGAAAGAAAGTGGGCAACCAGCGCCTCCTTTTTATCTCTATTATTGCACTCCCATCTCTTTCAGGGTTGTTTTTCTTCTTCTTCTTCTTCTTCTTCTTCTTTGGTCTTTCATCTAATAAAACCTAATTCATCAGCTTTCCTGTTAGTCCACTCGTCAACTGCAGCAAGGCCAATGCACGAACTATAATACCTACTTACCAAGTGTCGTTGACTTTTGAGGACAAAGAGCCTTTTTTCTTCACAACGAAGCCACTGGCCCATCTCAGTTGCAGTAAATTCAGCAATGACACAGCATGTGACAATTTCCATGGAAGAACTTAGACATCAAGTTAAAACCAACCAGTTTTACATATACCACTTTGTTTTTGATGATACACAGTGGATCAAAGATAGCAAACAAATGTTAGAGAAAGATGTTTGTAGTCGGGAGTACAAATCAAATGAAGAACAAGAGAAGATCCACTAAGTTTGCGTTTCTGCAAAAAGGTAGCCACAAAACCCTGTGTGGTGCTCAATGTTCCTGAAGCATGAATGTGTCCGAGAAGGTACTCTCCCCCTTGAGCTTTACAGAAGAAATGTCACATGAAGATGCGACGAAGCACGCAGCTAACGATCACCAAAGATGGACGGATGACCAACTATTCTGCGCAACAGCCGGTTTTCTTAGCAGCAGCTTGCACGTCGTCGTCGGCGCCGATGTTGATGGTCTGTCCCTTGGGCACAGCCGACGGATCATCACCGAGATCAAGCACCTTCTTGCTGACCACATGGTAGATCTGGGTCAGCACTTCGGTGAAGGCAGTCTCCACGTTCATGGACTCGAGGGCAGATGTCTCCATGAAGAAAGCCCTCTCCCGTTGAGCAAAGGCCTGTGCGTCCTCCACTGAGACGGCCCTTATGTGACGCAAGTCAGCCTTGTTGCCCAAGAGCATCATGACGGTGTTTGCATCCGTGTGGTTCTTGAGTTCCTTCATCCACCTCTCCACATTCTCAAAGGTTATATGTCGAGTTACGTCATAGACGACGAGGGCACCGGCAGCTCCTCTGTAGTATGCACTAGTGATTGCTCGATATCTATACGATCAAAGAAGAACAGGAGATAGCATATATCAATCTGCAATTACGGGAGTAAGCTAATCTCTTAATTACATCATGATATAGCAAGTCAGAACAAAAATTAGCTACAGGCATTAACATAAAGCATTCATCTTTACATTACAACCAAGCTAAACTAGCAGTGCACTTACTTGAAATTATAATTTGATTTAGAGAATAATATGCATTTCTCAGCATATCAATAGGTCCAATCCAATGAAAATTGAGAGAGGATCAAGGAATCGTTCCACATTGTTAAGTATTGAAAGGATCGATGATAAATTTTGGATTTGACCTACAACTTAATAAGTCTAAGTATAAGTTAATCTTGACTTAGACTCAATAGTTTTTTAATCTTAAAAATCACAACTGAAAAATAGTCTGACATCAGACTTACAGAGTTTAGTTTATCTGTAATTTATTTCACATTCAAAAGACTTAATCAAAGCTCCAAAGCCATAAAGAAATGCTAATTACCAACAATCTGCAACAAAAAGTGACATAGGTTTGGAATCTTACGTCAAAATCGATATGAATGTTGTTTCTTGCTAAGGTAGATAGTTTTTTATATTACTTGGACTATAATATCGAAGAGTCCTGCAGTCTAGAAACGACAAGCATCTTATCATACCATGTAGCATCTTGAGAGAGCAACAATACAACATTTTTTGAAACTACATGATGCATTACTTGGACTATAATATCCAATAGTCTGGCTAGCATTCTTGAAAGAAACTACAAGCATCTTAGCATACCAATGTAACATCTTGAGATAGCAACAATGCAACATTCTTGAAACTACAGAGCATATATTACTTGGACTATAATATCCAATAGTCTAGCTAGCATTCTTGAAAGAAACTACAAGC